GATGAAGCTTTCGAGGTGAAGCTTTGATGGTGAAGCTTTGTAGGTGAAAGTATGTAGAGGGAGCTTTCTAGGTGAAGCTTTTTTAGGTGAAGCTGTGTAGGTGAAGCTTTTTTAAGTGAAGCTTTTCGGGTGAAGTTTTTTGGGTGAAGCTTTGTGGGTGAAGCTTTTTTAGGTGAAGCTTTTGTGGGTGAAGCTTTTTTAGGTGAAGCTGTTTGGGTGAAGCTTTTTAGGTGAAGCTTTGTGGGTGAAGCTTTTTTAGGTGAAACTGTTTGGGTGAAGCTTTTTTTGTGAAGCTTTTTTGAAGTTTGAAGTTTTTTTTTTTTTTTTTTTTTTTGGGTGAAGCTTTTTTAGGTGAAGCTTTTTGGGTGAAACTTTTTGGATGAAGCTTTTTGGGTGAAGTTTTGTGGGTGAAGCTTTTTGGGTGAAGCTTTGTGGGGAAAGCTGTTTAGGTGAAGCTTTGTGGGTGAAGCTTTTTTAGGTGAAGCTGTTTGGGTGAAGCTTTTTGGAGGTGAAGTTTTTTTTTTTTTTTTGGGTGAAGCTTTTTTAGGTGAAGCTTTTTGGGTGAAACTTTTTGGATGAAGCTTTTTGGGTGAAGTTTTGGAGGTGAAGCTTTTCGGGTGAAGCTGTTTTTTTTTTTTTTTTTTTTTTGGCGCTTGACACGGTTTTGATCATGCATGTAGTGATAGAATTTGTTTCTTCTTATTGTAGATGTCAGAGCCTGGAAGTTCTAGTGATGAGGGCTCTTCTAGCTTTAGCTCTAAGTCTGAGTCTGCAATGTCGGAGTCTTCGGGGTCTTTGTTAGAGTCCTGTACTAGAGAAACATTGGATGATCTTCCCAACCGTCAAACTTTAGCTATTGCTAGTTCTTCCTCCATGGCGTTGGGTGAGGGGGTTTCTCCTGATATGTCTTTGCCTCGGCGGAGGCATGGTTATAAGCCTGCGCCATCACCTCAGAGTAAGTCTTCCAAGTATTGGCATTGATCATGTATTTAAAAGAAACAATCACGTAGGCCTGCCGTGAAGGCTTTGAGGGCAGTCTTGTCGTCTGCCTCGGCACACCGGGAGTATTCATGGCTGAAGCGGCCAGCATACATACGTAATGACTCGTCTGGCCTCTGGCGGATAGTGTACAGGTCATCTGCAGAGTGCAAGCGATCGGTTTGGAAAATGTGTTGGGAAACAAATAGTTTCCTCAATTCCTCAAATGAGTCTACCGTCTCAGGTGTAAGACGACAATACCAATTTAGAGCTCCGCCAGAGAGGGTGGAGGGGAAGAGAAGACATCGTTCTTCGTCGGTGTGCATCCGGTATGCCATGGTGGACTCAAAGAGGTTAAGGTGCTCAATCGGGTCCTCTTTTCCAGTATAAAGTTGCAAGCCAAGCTTCTGCTTTGTCTTTGCTTGAAGGGGGGTGTTGAGGATCCTCCTTGTAAGAGGGCCAGGCCTGGGTTGGTTCCAGTCAGGTATTTCAGCCTGACGTTCAGCCTTCAACTTGTTTACTTCCTCAAGAAGTTGTAGGACAAGAGGGTCCTGAACGGAGTTATGTGCCACTGGAGCTTTCTTTCGTAAATCTCCATCTCCTCTTGGAATTAGGAAGGTTTGATCAAGGGCATGTGATTTTTCCCTGGACTCGCTGTACTGGCTTCCAGGGTATGTCTGTCGGAACACCTCTGAGTCCCCTGTACCCTCATGTCTCTCTAGGACTTGTTGCACCTTCCCCAAGTTGGTGGCCGGCTCGGGCCGTGGCAGGGGACCGAGTCTCTCAGAAATCCTTGGGTCATTGATCTTTGAGCTTATATGGATGGAATTCTCTCGACGTTGCTTCAGGAAATCCCGACAATCGCGAAAGACGGCTTTCGATCCTTCTGCCCCTTCAGCAAAGAGGTGTCTCCCTCCGCTTCTCATGGTTCGGGTCGAAGCAACTGGGTTAAGAGAAGCCTCATGTTGATTATCAAATCGAGGGGTAATTTGTTCCCTATCAGGGATATCTATGTCGAATGCATGTGACCCTCCATGTTGGAGGGCACCCAGTTGATGGTTGACTTCCACGGGGGCAACAAGCTCGCGTGTCTGAGCTTGCCTAGCTTCGTGAAGTGTCTCGAAGAGCTTCTCATATTGCTCCTGGAGGACCTCATTCCTCATTGCTATCTTGTTGTTCTGAGCTTCCAACTCATTGACTTTAGCTTGAAGAAGAACTCGTTTTCCTTCCTTCTTTCGTTGTTTCGCACTATGTGCAAGGGGGGGGTGTCATTCTGTGTGCTGTGGCTTCCTTCGCTTCCCATGCTGGAGAGGGATGCCTGATCAAAAGAAAGTGTACGAATGATAGAAACCAGCTTGACACAGCTGAAGAGAGTAGGAATAAGTGTCGTTTCCCACAGACGGCGCCAAATGTTGATGCACAAAATCAGCGAAGACTTTGGTACAACAGAAAGTGTCAAGTTTTATGACCTTCGCTTGGTTGCTTCGGTCACTAGTGAGGATAAGTACGTAAATGAATAGAGACAGAGAAGCAAACACAGGATGTACGTGGTTCACCCAGATTGGCTACGTCCACGGAGTAGAGGAGTTCTTATTAGTAGTGAAGGGCTTACACAAGTACAAAGGATCAAGCTCTCAATTTAGTGAGTTCTTATGAATGATTTAACACAAATGGCATTAGGCAATATTGTGGGGGAATGACCCCTATTTATAGAAAAACTTGTAGCTTTGTCACATTGACATGTGTCATGTTATGATTGGTTCTTGATGTCGACACGTGCTGCGCTCTGATTGGCTTCTAATCTTGACACGTGTCGAGTAGTGATTGGCCTCCTGGTCGGAGGGGAACTCTTCTGGGTCCTTGACAGTATAGCGTTGGCCGGTGCTCGGTAGTTTCGGGATTGGTCAAGTATGGTACAAACAGGTAATATCGGAAATATCGGTAGTCCGAAAACACGGAAATATCGACGGAAATATCGATAAAATATCGATATCGATAAAAATTACATGGAAACCACGGAAATTGTAAGAAAAACTTGGAAATTTTTATTGAAACTTTGCAGGATGTTTATTTAGTCAATTATCTATTAGTTTATCACAAAAATTGGAAGGAAATGCATTGCATGATGGATTTAACATTATCAAGTTGATTATATAGCGAGCTGACAAACATTGTGAGTGTAGAAAATATGTAGTAATTAATCATTTATATATGTAGTAATTAATGAAAGAAGTTTAAACACACCATAATCATTTATATATAATGAATTAGTACAATATTTTACACTTTATATATTGCATGGTAAGATACATGAGTGACTTATTCTTATAACGGGTACATATCAATTTTTTTTTATAAAAATTAATGGGTACAAACTTATTCTTATTCTTATTTTTTATATATTTGAAATGTTTGAATTGAAAATTAATTAGGAGTTTAATAAGGATGTGAGTATTAAAACTCTAAATAAATTACTAATTATTGTTCATATGTGCTAGTTTGGTTTCCCTCGTTAGCCCACAAATAAATCGAATGATAAAATGTAAAAAGAATATCCAACAAATCTATAATTTAAAAATACATTAAGTCATATAACTTAAGATATTTTGAATGGTTATATTTAACTTTTTAAAATTAAAAGTAAAAATCATGGTTGGGTGGGTGGTTGAAATTGAAACTTTGAAGGTGCAGCATGCTTCCCCATTTCAGCACCACGTGTGTGGTGTGACCTCCCCTCCATCCCGATTCCCCATCCTTCACATCTATCTTCTCTCTCAGTCCTCTCTTTCTCTCCACTTTCCCAGGCTCTCCCTTTCTCTGCTTCTCTCCCTCAGTCTCTTATTCTCTGCAAAACACGCACAGACCACACACGCACACACCACACACGCAGTCTCTCCTTCTCTCCCTCAGTCTCTCCGTCGTCCGTCCATCCTTCTCCCTCAGCCTCGATCTCGATCCTTCTCTCCCTCAGTCTCTCCGTCCGTCTATCCTTCTCCTTCAGCCTCGATCTCGATCCTTCTCCCTCAGTCTCTCCGTCCATCCTTCTCCCTCAGTCTCTCCATCCTTCTTCTTCTCCCTCAGTCGTCTCTGGTGGTGCGCCGCTGAGCAAGGAGTTGGCCCAGTCATCGATATTTCAGGTGAGATTCCATTGAAACCCTAAGCCCTAAACCGATATCACATATGTTGAATCGTTGATGCATGCGTGAAATTTGGAGTATATATGTGAAATTTAAGTTAAAATTCGTGTTTTTGCAAGGTTTTTGGGACGAAATGGGCTCGGGAACAGGCACACCATCTCCGGCGTTCTTCTCCGGCGTCCGATATCGGAATCCGATTGCACCATTCAACGAAATTTCTCGATATTTCCAAAATATCGCGATATTATCGATAATATCGATAATATCACGATATTTGGACGAAAACTACACGGAAACCAGTTTAAATATCCATTACCCGAAAAATCGATATTATCGGCGATATTTCGCCGATAATATCGATATTTAAATCCATGGTACAGAGTAGTAGAATACTCATGTGGTTATTATTCTCTATCCAATTCTCTTATGACACGTGGTGTGGTTGTTACCGTACTAATCGAAACTGGGCAGTGAAATACGGAAAAGGGATCCTCGTCGGATCTCTTTCTCCTAATTCACCAAATTAAAGGATTCGTATCATTGAAATTTGATCAAACAGCTACAAATAAAAACTTATTTTAAAAGTTATAATAACTTAAATCGTTAGATTAATTTTCAACTATACGAATCCTCTAATTTAGTAAATTAGAATGAATGAATTAGAAGAAAATCCATTTCCGTGAAATACCATGCGCATCAAGACAAAAATGTGGACCACATACAGATAAAACCGGTTTATAGAACTCTGCCACGTCATCAAAGAGATGTATACCATGCGCATCAAGACAAAAATGTAGACCACATACAGATAAAACCGGCTTATTGAACTCTGCCACGTCATCAGAAGAGTTGTATATGTATTTTGCCCATCCCAATGGCTTTGTTCACTCCGTGATTATTCTGTTCATCTTCTTCATCTGATCAGAGCCAGAGAGAGAGACAGAGAAAGCGCGCGTTTTAGAGAGAGAGAGAGAGAGATGGCAACGGACGTGGCGGTGCTGCAACACGGAACGGTAGGGAAGAGCCTGGGCAATGGAGGAGCGTGCTGCAAAAGTGGGCCCGGGTACGCCACCCCGCTCGACGCCATGGCTGGTCCGAGAGAGGCTCTCATCTATGTAACTGCCGTTTACTCAGGTACCCGATTGCACTTTTTCCCTCATCACAAATATTCAAGCCTTCATTTCTTCTCCGTTGAATCATGGGTAGAAACTTACTCCCCCACCCTCGTTGTACATACATCTTGCATAAAATAAAATTAACAAACAAATTATCTTCTGTGATTTGGGTTTTTAATTTTTAATTTGTTCTCTGTTTTTTTTTTTTCTGAATTTATAGTAAAATCTTAAATTGGTTAGGTTACAAGTAAAAGATTTGAACTTTGAAGGGATTTATGAACTTTATCTCCTTAATTTTGTTGAATCCCACATCGACATAGTAAAAGAAAAGTAATAAGTTTAAATATTCTAATTTCATTTTAACTAATATTGATGTTTTTTGTGATAAAACCTTTCACCTAATGAATTAGACAAATGGTAATTATCAAGTTGACGATAATATCGATGTTGTTAGAGGTGAGTCTTTGATCCGTCTCTTTAATAATTCTATAAAGGCAATGATTGTGGGTCCTTGGATCCCTTGGCCCCACATGCCTTGGCTCCACGTGGCGATGATGGTGGGTCCTTTGGTCCCTTGGCTCGGCGTGCCTTGTTCCACGTGATTGTCAATGTATGGAACTCATTAATTGGATTTCATGGGAGAGGGCGTGTTTGATTATAGTAAAAGCAAATTTAATAGTTTAAATATTCTAACTTCACTCTAATTAACACTGTGGCTTTTATGATAAAATCTTACCCCTAATGGATTGGGCAAGTGGTAATTATTAAGTTGGGATAGTATCGGTGTTTGTTGGAAGTGGGTTTTTGGCCCGTTTCTCTGATAATTCTACAAATTTTATTGTTTCTTTAAATTATTGCTTATAAAGAATTATATACATGGACTGTTTTTCTGCTTGCATTTGGCAATGAAGATGTAAAATTGATGTTAATTCTTCGAAATGCTATTGCAAATTAGGAACGGGAATAGAGAAGCCGGATTACCTTGCCACGGTTGATGTCGATCCAAGTTCGCCTACTTATTCCAAAGTAATCCACAGGCTGCCCGTGCCGCATTTAGGTGATGAACTGCATCACACTGGCTGGAACTCGTGCAGCTCTTGCCATGGAGATCCATCTGCAGAACGGCGTTTCCTTGTACTACCTGCATTAATGTAAGATACTAAATTTCATGTTGCATGGACTGTTATACTGTTTGGTCTTAATTGAAAAAGTAGTTCTTATGAAGTTAAGCAAGTGAAATTTCTTGTTAGGCAGCCAGTCTGAAATGGTTAAGGATAAACGAAAAGAAATTTGAGAAGAATCCGCACAGATCAAAATTTTCAAGCTGGAACCTCCTCGATCTGAAAATGTTTATTAAAAGCACAATTGATGTATGTTGATGTGGTGCAACCTTGGTGAAAGGAAAGATCGCAAATAGTTTGGAGTATCACTTATTTTTCATGATGTTGCGATTCACTATGCTTAATTTCATCTAAAACTGAGGCTTTACATGTAATCGAGCAGTTGAAGCTGTTCTACTGAACATTTTGTCTTCTGCTACCTGTGATTTCTTTACCATTTCTCATAGTACAGGAGATACGAATTTCATTAGCTGATTAAGTATTTGGAGCATTTTTAAGATTGTTTGTCTAGGAATGACATCCTTGGTTGAAGTTTTGAAATTTCCCTCGAAACAAACATAAGCATTTCGATCATCATGTTTGGCCTGACCGGAGTGTCAAAATCAACTATCCGAAAGTTTAAAAAATCAGCATCTTCTTACACAGAGACCAATGTTGTGAATTGATGGAACATATAGTAATATAAGTGACATCAATTAATGTTTATATATACTTGCTACTCCCTATTATTTGACAAGTTCTGCATGCTTTAAATATCACTTAAGCATTACCGGCTCTTTTCTGTAAGATTCTGAGTGAGGTCTTTCAAGCTTGTATATATGTGTAGGCCAAAGTATTGCACTTCTTATTAATCCTATTTTATCTTTCAGATCTGGTCGTATATATGTGATAGACACAAAAACAAACCCGAAGGCTCCCTCTTTGCATAAAGTTGTTGACCCTGCAGATATTGTTCAGAAGACTGGATTGGCATATCCACACACATCCCATTGCCTTGCTTCGGGCGATCTACTGGTTTCTTGCCTAGGAGATAAAGATGGCAATGCTGTAGGAAATGGATTTCTTCTCCTTGACTCTGAGTTTAATGTGAAGGGCAGGTATGACCTTCCGCTGGAAACCTCAATTCATTTATTGTAGATTTTGAAGAAACTGTCATATAACACCATGTGGAATTGACTGATTCCCACACACATCAATATCGTAAAATTTGAGTTTATATGTTGACAATATAAACATGGAACATGAGATTGATCATACCTAACATTTATGTGCATCCTTATTAAACATTTGAAAGAGATCGAACCCCACTTCTCTGGGCTTGGTTGCATGGTAGCCTTGGTAGGTTGAAGACATCTGCCACTTCCACAGTTTTGATTACATATAGATATCCTAACATCTGACAGGTGGGAGAAACCAGGGCACAGTCCACTTTTTGGCTATGATTTCTGGTACCAGCCGCGACACAAGACAATGATAAGCACATCATGGGGTGCCCCTGCTGCTTTCACTAAAGGTTTCAACCCTCAGCATGTCTCGGATGGACTGTATGGGAGGCATCTTCATGTATACAGCTGGCCAGAAGGTGAATTGAAACAAACATTGGATCTTGGAAATACAGGACTCTTACCCTTGGAGGCGAGTTGTATAAACTTAATCAACATTCAGCAGTACTCGTTTTCACAGTTTATTTTCCTATATAAAGACATCAGGCGACTCTGGATCTGTTTTATAACTGAATCTCACTGTTTGCAGATAAGGTTCCTGCATGATCCTTCTAAGGACACTGGATTTGTTGGGTGTGCCTTGACAAGTAACATGGTGCGATTCTTCAAGACAGATGATGGTTCGTGGAGCCATGAGGTAATTCGATTCATTCTTACTGTCTTTTGAATCCTTATTTTCTTTTATGTTTTGGAAAAAATTAAAGTACTAGGTCCGGAGTACCCAATAAATCCTAATACATTTTTCCAGGTTGCAATATCAGTGAAACCATTGAAGGTGCAGAACTGGATTCTTCCGGAGATGCCTGGGCTTATAACTGATTTTCTGATCTCACTTGATGATCGTTTTCTATACTTTGTGAACTGGCTTCATGGAGATGTGAGACAGTATAACATTGAGGACCCCAAAAATCCTAAGCTGACGGGCCAAATATGGGTTGGGGGGCTAATCCAAAAGGGATGCCCAGTTGTTGCTGAGGCTGAAGATGGTACAACAAAGCAGTTTGACGTCCCAGAGATCCAGGTCTGTGCGATCTTCTTCTGATAACTTTCGGTATCAATTAGTATTCCTTACTATCACTTTTAAGTCTTTTTTTTCTGTGGATTAAGAGTTGGTTTGCCTGCTGTATCTTAGCAGTCCTGTACCAAAATTTTGCTCACCATTTTACATGCTATTGTCTAATAAAAGGCATCAGAATATTCTTCTCAAAAAAAAAAAAAAGGCATCAGAATATTGTTGATATAGTCACTCTCCTGTCCAATGTAGAGTGTAATTGCTAAGAAAATAAGATGTACTCAAGATCCTAGGTTAATGTCTTTCCGCACCAACTCTCTCGGTTTTCAGTTTTGAACCGAGTAAGGGGTGAATAGCGGGTGTGAATTATAGTGCATAGCCTTGACATGAAATGTTATCATCTCTTTGCAGCATTTCCCATGCATCACATGTTCTATCTTCTTCTCATGTACAAGTCTCATTCACCACATGATTGTAGTATAAAAAGATAGATACATCTAGCTTTTATGAGGCATAAGTACATTCATAGTTGCCATGCTTGATAGTAGTTCTCAAAGATATTTCATGCCGGAAATTTCGTTTTACTGTTTAACATTGATTGATGAGTTCATGTCTTCCATTCAGGGGAAAAAGTTGAGAGGTGGACCTCAGATGATCCAGTTAAGTTTGGATGGGAAGCGGCTTTATGTCACCAACTCCCTTTTCAGTACATGGGATCGCCAATTTTACCCCGACCTTCTGGAGAAAGGATCTCACATGCTACAGCTTGATGTTGACACTGAGAAGGGTGGTCTTGCATTAAACCCGAACTTTTTCGTCGACTTTGGAGCTGAACCGGATGGTCCTTCCCTAGCCCATGAAATGAGATATCCTGGTGGTGACTGCACTTCAGATATTTGGGTTTAATCATTAAAGTTTCTCTTTGCAATTGCTGTCTAATTTTATCCATCTGGTACTGAAAATAATGTAGTATGAACTTATCTTTTAAAATAAATAAAATAAAACCATCCGGTGTGTGAATTATGACATCATATGTATGGCATGACCGCGATATCCATCTCTTTTTACAAGCACAGTATTGCTAGCCTCTTCGCACGCTCTCATGCACGAGCTAGTTGGCTGTCTCTCGTTTTCATCAGCTGTGTATGTTCTTTTATTACTGTCAAAATTGAACCTTCTTTTGGTACAACAATCAACATCCATTTTTGGAGTGAGATTATACTAATTGTTTCATGATAAGGAGATCTTATTGTAGAGGCGAAATTTGGTGCCCTCTTCTTTATCCTATGGAGTTGCTTTCAACATTGTAATCTGTCGAGATTAAGAGTCAACAAGGAAACGAAATCAAATGGGAAACTAACCTTAAGGTTCTATTTATTGTGCATAAGATTCAAATAGGTAATTAACAAAATTTTTGCATCTTTGTGGCTCTGCGACTGTTGTTGATTCTGAAGTCTTCCACTATTTTCCTAAATCTTATTTAATGTGCCTTAAATGGTTAAATTTACTTTGGTGTGGAGATGGTGGTGGATTGAATTGAAAAGTTTTATAATTTAACTAGCCTATAAAAAAACCACATACTAAATTAGAAAAACCTCATTTTATTTTCGTCTTAGGATTAAGTTTGCATTGAGACGGCTCTGCAATTTAGATTATGTACTTGCCGCATGTGGCGCGCTGTGTGGCCCGAGCACAGTGTTAAGTGAGCAAGGGTGTATCTCCATCGGCACCCGGATGCAGTGTTAAATGAGCAAGGGGGCCATAGAAACTTCTTTTCGAACGACTCCACTCAAAGTTGTTTGGGAGCATATGCTCCTATCAACTTTACACAGGACACACAAAAGAAGTACTTTAATCCTATTAGACGAGGGAGGGTGAAGAAGCTAGGACAGAATGGTAGAGTTCAAGAGAGTAGAATGCGTTTAGGAACGTGGAATATAGGAACCTTAACGGGAAAATCTATGGAAGTAGTGGAAGTTATGGTGAGGAGAAGGATAAATATTATGTGCCTAGAAGAAACTAAGTGGGTTGGTCTTAAGGCAAAGGATCTAGAAAACTCAGGGTTTAAACTTTGGTATTCGGGCACAAATAGAACGAGAAACGGTGTTGGCATCATCGTGGACAAGACCCTGACACAAGATGTTGTAGATGTCAAGAGGGTAGGAGATAGAATCATGGCAATCAAGATTGTAATAGGACAAGAACTCATCAATGTGATTAGTGCGTACGCACCTCAAGTAGGGTTGGATACGAGTTCGAAAGAGAAATTTTGGGAAGACCTTGGAGACATGGTGCAAGGAATTGCCCAGATGGAGAAGTTATTTATATGAAGAGATTTAAATGGACACGTGGGCAGGGAGACAGGCAACTATGGCGGTTTTCATGGTGGCCATGGTTTTGGGGAGAGAAACGAGGATGGGGAAGCTATCTTGGATTTTGCAATGGCATACGATCTCTTTTTAGCCAACACCTTCTTTAAGAAGAGAGAAGAACATGTGATCACCTACAAGAGTGGGTCGTCAAAAACACAAATAGATTTTCTTCTAATGAGGAAAGGGGATCGTAAAACTTGTAAGGATTGCAAAGTTATACCGGGAGAGAGCTTGGCTAATCAACATCGCTTGTTGGTGATGGATGTACATATCAAAAGAGTGAGAAAAAAGAACAAGACTTGGAAGTGCCAAAGGACTAGATGGTGGAATCTAAAAGGAGAAAAACAAGCCATTTTCAAAGAGAAAGTAATCACCCAGTGTGTGTGGGATAGAGAGGGGGACGCTAGCCAGAGGTAGGATTCCATGGCTAGTTGTATCCGAAAAGTAGCAAAAGAGGTATTAGGAGAGTCCAAGGGCTTTGCTCCACACCAAAAGGAATCTTGGTGGTGGAATGAGGAGGTACAAACAAAGGTGAAGGCTAAGACGGAATGTTGTAAAGCCCTATACAAGGATAGGACCGATGAAAATGGTGAAAGGTATAGAAAAGCAAAGCAAGAGGCGAAGAAAGTTGTGAGAGAAGCTAAGTTAGTGGCTTATGACGATATGTATAAGCGATTAGACACCAAAGAAGGAGAGTTGGATATCTATAAACTAGCTAGATTAAGGGAAAAGAAGACAAGAGACCTAAACCAAGTGCGGTGCATCAAGGATAAGGATGGAAAGGTTCTTGCTACAGAGAACGCAGTCAAAGACAGATGGAGGGGTTATTTTCATAATCTTTTCAATGAAGGACATGAAAAGAGTACTTCTTTAGGGGAGTTGAGTAACTCAGAAGAGTGTAGAAACTTCTCATTTTATCGTCGAATCAGGAAGGAAAAGGTGATTGTTTCTTTGAAGAAGATGAAGCATAGAAAAGCAGTGGGCCCAGACGATATACCGATCGAAGTGTGGAAAGGCTTGGGAGAGACAGGTATAACATGGCTCACTGACCTTTTTAATAGGATTTTGAAAACGAAGAAGATGCCAAATGAGTGGCGAAAGAGCACTTTGGTGCCTATTTACAAGAATAAGGGTGACGTACAAAATTGCATGAACTATAGGGGTATTAAGCTAATGAGTCATACAATGAAGCTCTGGGAGAGAGTCATTGAACATAGATTGAGGCAAGAGACACGGGTTTCGGACAACCAATTTGGGTTCATGCCAGGGCGCTCAACCATGGAGGCAATATATCTCTTACGAAGATTGATGGAAAGATATAGAGATGGAAAAAAGGATTTACACATGGTTTTTATAGATTTGGAAAAAGCGTATGATAGGGTCCCAAGAGACATTCTTTGGAGGATTTTAGAGGAGAAAGAAGTACGAGTAGCATATATCCAAGCTCTAAAGGATATGTATGAAGGAGTAAAGACTGCCGTAAGAACTCATGAAGGACAAACCGAAAGCTTCCCCATAACTGTAGGATTACATCAAGGCTCATCCTTAAGTCCTTACCTTTTTGCGTTGGTAATGGATGAGTTAACAAGACATATTCAAGATGATATTCCTTGGTGTATGCTTTTTGCAGACGATATAGTGTTGATAGATGAAACTCAAGAAGGGGTAAATGCGAAGCTTAACCTTTGGAGAGAAGTGTTGGAATCTAAAGGTCTTCGCCTAAGCCGATCAAAGACAGAATATATGGAGTGCAAGTTCAGTGCAAATGGAGGCCAAAATGAGTTAGGGGTGATGATCGGTGATCAGGAAATACCAAAGAGCGACCGTTTTCGCTACCTAGGATCTATCTTGCAAAAGAACGGAGAATTAGATGGAGATCTCAACCATAGAATACAAGCTGGATGGATGAAGTGGAATAGTGCATCCGGCGTTGTGTGACCGCCGTATGTCACTGAAGCTCAAGGGAAAATTTTATAGGACCGCGATAAGGCCGGCGATGCTGTATGGCACAGAATGTTGGGCGGTGAAGCATCAACACGTACACAAAATGGGTGTAGCGGAAATGAGGATGTTGCGTTGGATGTGTGGGCACATGAGAAAGGATAAGATTAGGAATGAGGATATCCGAGGTAAAGTAGGAGTAGCCGAAATTGGAGGAAAGATGCGAGAAAATCGGTTACAGTGGTTTGGACATGTGCAAAGAAGGCCTACTGACGCTCCGGTTAGAAGATGCGACTACGGGACAGAGGTTCAGGGCCGAAGGGGTAGAGGAAGACCTAGGAAAACTTTGGAAGAGACTCTAAGAAAAGACTTAGAGTACTTGGATCTAACAGAGGACATGACACAGGACCGAGCACAATGGCGTTCTAAGATTCATATAGTTGGATGATTGCATACGACAACCCAAAACATTCCCTACAAGTTCCCTACATGAATTGCATAATAAAGATACAAGCAATAATCATTAAGTTTTATGAAAAACATAAGCATATACACAAATTAGTTTTTATACGAACGGATAAGTAAATTGAATTCACAACTTATGAATCGCAGCATATACACAAATCAATTTTTATACGAACGAATAAGTAAATTGAATTCACAACTTATGAATCACAACTGGATGTGATTTTTTGACTTTCCACAGCTTTGATCTTGAATTGAAGCTTCTCGAGTTCTTCATTTCAGACTTCTTCTGCTGGATTGATTGCGCATACTGTATTTCCTTATCTGTTCTCCTAGCCTTACTCTTGAGTACTCATCTTTATCATCTTATGCTTCCTCTTCGTCTACCACATCTGCCTGTGGAAGACGAGTACTCGAGAGCAATACCATGTAAGCAATCAGGAAGGGGTTCCAAGCAGTCGGTTCCAGATCAGAAGATTGATACCAAGTGCTGGCTGATTGCTTTCCTTCTCCTTGTCCTACAGGTTAGAACAAAGACAAGGAAAAGGACACGGAGAATGCATGATATGAGATACTCTTGCTTTCTACCTTCATGATATGAAATACTTTTGCTTTTGAAGATGTGTTTGCAGAGGTATCCCATGGGATAAAGAACACTGAGTGAGTCGAGAGGGTTTGTTGGAAAGCCATTTCTCGGAGATGACGGAATGTTATGTATGTCTGCCTTGTCATGGAGCGTGAAGGTCGACATTTGTAGGAAATAATAACCGGTACTGTTCTTTCACTCCTGTCGGCAATCGTTGGATGATTAAACAGTAAACTTCACGTGTTTTCTACTTTAACAGAAATCGTCGACAGATTGCCCGTGATTTCCTCAAAGCTTTCTCTGCATGTGATAAGTGCTGACGAGGCTGAGAGAGACAGGCGGTTGGAATCGGCTATTCGACAAACTTTCCGTGATTTTCGCAAAGCTGACGAGGCTGAGAAAGACAGATGGTTTGGAATCGGCGCTTCGACAAACTTTCCGTGATTTTCGCAAAGCTGACGAGGCTGAGAAAGACAGGCGCATCTTCGCTATCTGAGATCGATGCTTCGACAACTTTTCTGTGATTTTCGCAAAGCTGAGTTTGCGTGCGACGGGTGCTGACGAGTGCTGACAAAGCTGACACTTCTTCGATTTCTGATATCAGCCCGTGATTCCGGAGTAGGCCTAGCTTTGGAGAAAGCAGACGCTTCTTCGATCTTTGAACTCGCCTCTTCGATCTCTAAAATCCTATCGCGTGCTGTTTTTTATAGAGGTACGCAGGATGTTCAAAGCACATATGAATTTCTGCCTGTGAAAACTCCCTTCTTGCACTTCGACGATCTTGACTTGTCTGACCTCTTCTTTCTTTAACACCTCTGAAAATGTCTGGCCCCTCCGACCGTCGTATTGACTTGAATATCGAAGAAGATATTGACCTCTCTTCTCCAGGTAACATTTGGCAACCATCCTTCATATCCTCCAACGGTCCTCTTACAGTTGGGGACACTGTGATGAGAAATGATGCAACAGCTGCAGTGGTTGCTAGAAATCTTCTCATTCCACGAGACAGTAGGATGCTATCTAAGCGGTCTGATGAGCAGGCTATTCATGATTCTTTAGCTTTCAGCGTCTAGTGTGCAGGCTCAGTATCAAACATGGGCCAACGCCTTCTTGCTCGATCTCGTCAAGTTGAGTCGTTGATGGCTGAAGTGGCTAGCCTTCGGCAAGAGGTCAAAACGCTTAGGCATGAAAATAAAGAGTTGCACATGCTCGCAACTAGTTACTCAACGAGCATGAAGATGAAGTTGGACCAGCTGCAGGAGGCTGAAGTTCGGGCCCGGAGTGATCATCAAAGGTTTATGGCTTTACTCCCGAGGCAACTTCTGTCTTCATCATCTGGTGCTTCACCAAGTGCTCCGGACAATCAAGCTCTGACACTTCGTCTTTCTGATGTTCCTTCAACTGCTGTTACACCTCCTGACCAATGAAAACTCCTTCTTGTTTGTGTAATTTTCTGCTTAATGTTCCTTTTTTTTTCATGAAAATGAATGTAAGAATACCTTGCAGATCTGTCAATGTTTCAAAAATAAACCCACACCCAAAAATAATTAAATAAACAACAAAAATTAAATAAATAAATAAAAAAAAATGACAATCAAGGCAAAATAGAAATGCAGAAAATGGAAGGTTTTTAGAAACGCAAAACTGATTGTGAAGCGATTCAAAAATCTTCCTTATTTGAATACATGGGTTGCCTTCCAAGAAGCGCTGACTTTAACGTCCTTCAACCGGACGAAACTTCCTTCTAAACTTAAATAGGGCCCATAGCACGGAATTGATCCTTAAATGGAAGGTGATACTTGATTCTTTCCTTGTAGTGGCCTTGTTACTCTCCTCTTCTTCGAGCAGCAGCTGTTCACCCATGTTTTGGCTTAGTTTGGACGTCTTGGGTTCACCTCCAACCTCCATAGCACTTCCCAAAGTGATAGCATCATGGATTTCAAAATCTCCCTTCAAATTTTCAACAGTTGAGTTGGAGAGTTCACTTTGCTCTTGAATTTGTGCCGTGAACTCCATAATTTGCCCAAATTGCTTTTCCAATTCGCCCGTCTTCTTGGCTTGATTTTGCACCTCTTTGTTTCGGATTTCTACATCCTGGTTCAAAGAGGTGAGTAACTTATTAAACATATCATTATCCAAAGATGTACCCGAATGGAATTGGGCAGATTGTTCATATGACCAGTGATAGAACTCCTCTTCTTGCTGCCAATATCCATCTTGTTGGAATTGTTGCGGTTCTCCACACATGTAATCTAAATAATCTCTCCAATCCGAATTGTAAGCGTTGGAAAACATGTTGTCCCTTGATTGGCTATGGCCTTGATAACCCCAAGCATCTTCATTCGTAGCGAATTGAGAACATTGATGAGTTGGATATCCTTGCCCATAGGACACACCATCTGTAGGGACACTTTGCATTGTGGTCCCTTCGGCATATTGTGACAATTGAGAAGTAAGTTTCGCCAATTGAGCTTGAATGGTAGCAAAATCCATGTCTTACTTCTCTAGTACTTGAAATCAAGGAAACAAAACTAAATCAAATATCATAAGTAAAAATAAAAGACACAAATAGAAACAAAGTCAGTAACTAAAAAAAAAAAAAAACATGAAAAAGAAACAACGGGGGATTAGCAAATCTTGCAAAAGAACGGAGAATTCGATAGAGATCTCAACCATAGAATACAAGCTGGATGGATGAAGTGGGAGAGTGCATCCGACGTGTTGTGTGACCATCATAGGCCACTGAAGGCGGTGAAACATCAACACGTACACAAAATGGGTGTAGCGGAGATGAGGATGCTTCATTGGATGTGTGGGCACACGAGAAAAGATAAGATTAGGAATATGGATATCCGAGGTAAAGTAAGAGTAGCCGAAATTGAAAGAAAGATGAGAGAAAATCGGTTACGGTGGTTTGGACATGCGTAAAGAAGGCCTACTGACGCGCCGGTTCGAAGATGTGACTATGGGATAGAGGTTCAAGGCCGAAGGGGTAGAGGAAGACCTAGGAAAACTTTGGAAGACCCTAAGAAAAGACTTAGAGTACTTGGATCTAACGGAGGACATGACACAAAACCGAGCGCAATGACGTTCTAGGATTCATATAGCCGACCCCACTTAGTGGGAAAAAGGCTTTGTTGTTGTTGTTGTTGTTGTGGTACTGAAAATAATGTAGTATGAACTTATCTTTTAAAATAAATAAAATAAAACCATCCGGTGTGTGAATTATGACATCATATGTATGGCATGACCGCGATATCCATCTCTTTTTACAAGCACAGTATTGCTAGCCTCTTCGCACGCTCTCATGCACGAGCTAGTTAGCTGTCTCTCGTTTTCATCAGCTGTGTATGTTCTTTTATTACTGTCAAAATTGAACCTTCTTTTGGTACAACAATCAACATCCATTTTTGGAGTGAGATTATACTAATTGTTTCATGATAAGGAGATCTTATTGTAGAGGCGAAATTTGGTGCCCTCTTCTTTATCCTATGGAGTTGCTTTCAACATTGTAATCTATCGAGATTAAGAGTCAACAAGGAAACGAAATCAAATGGGAAACTAACCTTAAGGTTCTATTTATTGTGCATAAGATTCAAATAGGTAATTAACAAAATTTTTGCATCTTTGTGGCTCTGCGACTGTTGTTGATTATGAAGTCTTCCACTATTTTCCTAAATCTTATTTAATGTGCCTTAAATGGTTAAATTTACTTTGGTGTGGAGATGGTGGTGGATTGAATTGAAAAGTTTTATAATTTAACTAGCCTATAAAAAAACCACATACTAAATTAGAAAAACCTCATTTTATTTTCGTCTTAGGATTAAGTTTGCATTGAGACGGCTCTGCAATTTAGATTATGTACTTACCGCATGCATGTAGTTTTTCTTCAAACATAAGAAAAAAATGTTATGTTTGCTATGCAATTACCTCTTTCCTCCTTGGAAAATCAACATGCAGAGACATTTATTGGGAACCCGATGGGCACGGGGGTAGTTGTCTGCAATTTTCAGTCTCAATCAAAATTAGAGACGGATAAATGAAGAACCTGAAGAGAAATAGAGACAATGAAGATTGTAATCAACAACTGCGGGGCACAATCGTGCCTGATACCATGAAAAGAATGAAAAAACCGAACTGATGAGAGTGTTTGGATACAGAGAAAACTACGAAGTCAGTGAGACGTTAACGTAATCAAAATAATTCCACTGCTGACTTGCTTATGTGGCCCACTAAACTGAGGACACCTGTGTTCTAAGAATTCTCTTAAACACAACCATACACTTTTTAAAAAAAAAAAATTTTTTTGTAGAGACGGATTAGGTGAGATTAGCTCTTCGTCAACAGTTGCGTACGAGGCACCAATCCTCTTCCAAAAGAGAAAGGACCGTTGCACCCAGAAACCCCCCACCCGTCCCCCTCTACAAGATTTTATTAATAATATGAAGAAAAAAAAAAAATAAAACTAACACGGGGAAAGGGCCGGGGGGGGGGGTCTAGGCGAATACCCGCTAAAAACAATTAACGAAAATAATATGGACTAATTTAAGACTACTTAGCTTCGGTCACCTGAAATTGATTTCCCATAATTCACACAACCATACACCTTGAAACACACAACCAAACACCTCGTTTCTTCTTCCCTGCAACTTTTTCACTCTTTTTCCTTCATCTTCCTTCGCCCATTCCAATCACCACCATGGCTGCCATTCATCATAATTGCAAATTTAAATAAAAAATGATTTCTTTTCAAGATGAACAAAATAAGACCCATATGGAGATGGGAGTCGCCATCTTTGTTGTCTTTTGCACCTTCGACAACCGTCCTCACCCACCACCAACAGCCACCGTCGTTCATCAGCTTTAGAACCGATGATTAATTGTATCTTATGAAATCGTTGAGTAATCGAATTCATGGCACCTGTAAGAATTGGTTTTGGTTGGTGCACTGGTTTTGTCGAATTTGCAGAGAAAGGGCGATAGTTTGGTTGGGTTTGCAGAGGAATAACGATGACGGAGGAGAGAGGTTGGGATTGACGGAGCGGCTGCCACAGGGAAGGGAGGAAGAAGATAGGTGTTTGGTTATCAGGATAGCAAGAATTTGGATGTGAGTTTTAAAGACAGGTGGTGGACAAGGGGTGGATTTTTTTGCTAAATTGCTGTACCAACCGAATTGCCAACCGGTACAATACCGATTTTATGCCAAAATTTTTGTTCCAATCGGTAATGGTACGGTATTATACCGTACCAAAATTTCATGGTACGGTATTGGTAATGGATACCATTACCACGGTATTACCGTACCATACCGAAAATGTAATACAATTTATAATTTATAAATTATATAATAGATAATTATATAACACATATTTATAATATTCCAATAATTTGAAAATAAAACCCTACTTATATTAGCATTGTTGTGTGTGACTTTGATCTCTTGAAATTGTGGAAAGAAATCAAACACAAAAGAGTTCCTAATTCTTTCACAAATAGCCATAATATCTTTGTAACCCCCACTTCTACTATTGCTGGTGAAAATGCATTTAGCCTAGGGAGGAGGGTTGTGGACCCTTTTAGGGTATCTTTGACTCTTAAAATAATGGAGGCACTAGTGCGTACTAGTGGTTGGCTTAAGGGCAAATGAAGTAAACTTCTACAAGGAACCAACAGATGATATGCTTCGATTTTACAAAGAAATGGAAGAAGAGAAAACAAGAAAGATATGCTTTAATTTTTTTAGTAAATTTGTTATTAAATGGTCTTCAACTTTAATTCTTCTTGCTACTAATTAATATGTTTTTTTAGTTTGTAATGTAGGCTTGACACAAATTCAATCTTCTACAAGTTCAATGCCTTCTCCAAAAGCTTCGACATCCCAAACTTGAATAAATGATCAATGAATTCTCCTTTTTGAAGTTTACTTCCAATTTTCATTTGGTTTGAAACTTTAATTTCTATTTGGATTGTTAACTTCTATTTGGATTGTAAGCTTAATTTTCATGATGAATCTTGATGCATCATTTGAATTATTATGTATGTGAATTGTGAATGATGAATAATAGATGAATTTAATCTATAATGTATGAGATAAAGATACAAAAAAAAAGTTTTGCCCTTGAATTGGGTTAAAAAAACAAAAACAGATTTTGTCCTAAAACAAAATGGCAAAGGCAATTACCATTGCCATACCATGCCAACCGAACTTTTGGCAATACCGAACTTCATTATACCAAAAGTTTGGTACGATAATGGTAATAGATTTTACCAAACCGAAAGTTTGGTACGGTAATTGGTACAAGAATTTTGGTACGGTAACCATACCGAACTCACCCTTAGACAATTATTGGGCCATCTAATAAGTCAGTCTGGTACTGACAAGACAGTACCCAAGTTTTATCCCCTTTGTTATATAGAAAAGTTAATGTTTTGTCTAACAGACTAACTAATTAAACGAAATCATAATAACTACAAAAATGCTACTTTTATCACGTAGTTCTATCATCATTTATACTATTTTGTTAATAGAAATGAGACCTACATGTGTTGGCGGGCCTTATCTCTATTAGAGAGATGAGACATATATACGTTGGTGGATTCCTATCTCTATTAAAAAAATGATATAAATAATTGTACAACTAGCGGTAAGTATAGCATTACTCAACTACCACACTCATCTAAATAGCAATTGGCGCCTGGTGCTAGGCGGCGTAAAGTGACAAATTCTCGTCAACCGGAAAATGACCCTCTCCGATTCTATTTGTATTTATTTCTTTGAACTAGCAAAAGCCCAGTTACGAGCAACATCCATATTTGGATTCAGGGCATTTCCACGGATCCAAATTATTAACCCTGGTTCGTTGACATCCTAAATTAGGGGTGGTACGGATTGGTATGATTCAGTTTGACATAAGAAAAAAAAAAGCCGATTCAATTAGTTCTCAAAGGTTCAGTTTGGTTCTGTACCTCCAATACCGTCATTAAAACTACACCAAACCTAACCATAGTTAATTAGCTTGACTCGGTTTAGTTTGGTCGGTCTAAATCTATTCAACACAAATAAAAAAGTTCAAGATTTCAAGAGTTTTAACCTCTAAACATTCATATATCTCACGCATTCTAATTCAATTGAATGGTTTAAGTTTTTCAGAACATAAAAAGTTCATCAAGTGGGATATAAATTAGTTTCAATTAAATAAAGAGTAAATTGTAGCTATGGTCCCTTAACTTTAACTCAATTGGAGCAATGGTCCTTCAACTACAAATCCATTACCATTGGTCCTTCAACTCATCAAAACGTGCAGCTATGGTCCCTCAACTAAAAATTCATTACCTTTGGTCTCTCAACTTTAATTCAACTGGAGAAATGGTCTCTTAACTTCAACCTAATTGTAGCAATGGTCCTTCCAACATAACTCATTTTGACAAAAAAATTTACGTAGTTGACGAAAAGGACCATAATTACACACTTTGATGAGTTGAGGGACCTTAATTATATAAATGGTTATTACATATTTTGACAAAATTTTGAAGAAATTGATGAAAAAGACTATAGCTACACATTTTGATAAGTTGAGAGACCAATAGTAATGGATTTTTAGTTGAGGGACCATTGCTCCCATTTGATTAAAGTTCATGGACCATTGCTACAATTTACTCTTAAATAAAAGGGTGATTTTGTATAAAATCAATAAAAAGTTACAATATTGACAATATATCAACAATATTTATGTTATTGGTACGATACTTAAATACATTTAAAAAAAGTTCATCATGTATTATGATACTTAAATGCATTTAAAAAAAATAAAAATTACAAAATTTGCCACTGCAACTGTTACGACCTTCAACTAACACTAAGGGTGGTATTGGTACGATTATTGTACCAAAACCCATGTACCAATTACCATACCAAACTTTTGGTATGACAAAACCTATTACCTTTACTGTGCCAAACTTTTGGTATACCGAATTTTGGCATGCCAAATAGTTATGTTGGCATGCCAAATAGTTATGTTGGCATGGTATGGTAATGGTAATTACGACTTTGTTTTGGGTCACTCTTTTCGCCCAAAATTTTGGAAATTTTTCCAACCCAATTCAAGGCGCAAACGTATTTTTTGTGATAACTCATCCCTAATTTTATGTTTTTATAAATTTTAAATGAGTGAATTAACGAAAATGCCCTTAGAGGCGAGATCGTTGACTCCAGTTGACCATCATTTCGTGAAGCGTATGGGCTATTATTTATCATATTCTTGAAGTACTCAACGATACGGACGCGTAGGCAAGCGGAAGCGAATATAGAGTTACGGTTAAAATTTTACAGAACTACAAATTCGAAAAAGTACCCTTGTAAAGATTACTATTTATTATCTTATATATTTCTCATAATTATTATATTATTATTTTGAAATTGTTTTGTTATCATATTATTATTATTTTATTATTAGTTGAGAGAAAAGAGTGGGAGTATTGGCCAACCGGAAAGAGAATGAGAGGAAAAAGATGCCTGCTGCCCAATTGGAAGAGAATGGCGGGAGAGAGGGAGAGCAACCATAGAAGGGGGAAAACATCATGTTGTTATAGAAGAAATAAAATTGCATAAAAGAAATAAGGACTTCGCTCAAAAGCGAAACAAAATGGGGGACACTATCAGGTATGCCTGACAGAGAGAATCGCTTGCAACGCAACTACAAGCCCAGATGCACAAATGAAAAGAATAGACAAGCTTTTAGCTCGAGAAGGCATCTTTTGATCGTTGAACTTTCACGCTCATATAGCGAGAAAACTATTCCAATCGGGAAAAAGGAAGAAAAATGAGTGACCAATCAGAAATAAGGAAAGGATGGAAGGGAGAGAAGAGATGAGACCACCCAACTCGGACCCTCACCTGACCCGGGTTTTGACCAAGTTTCTATTGACTTTTCCGTTGCTTTTTTTGTCGGATTTCCGGCATGTTGAAGCCATCCAACACCATCACCTAACTCATCGATCTTCCCTCTTCAATTCCCACCCAAACTCGACAGCTTATAGCCCTAGTTTCATGAGGAACCGAGTGAGTGGCGCCGAGGGTCTCACGGCAGCGATCAACCATTTCTGAAACAAACTCCGTCGACCACCACCATGGGTTGAATTCTCTTGAACCTAGGAACAGTCTCAAGGCTTGGTTGGAGCAGCGGAGCACCGAAGAAGCCGAATCGACAACCACCATTTTCTAGGGTTTCCGGCGGGTTCGTGGAGATTTGAAGCTTTTTCCGGCCAAATTGGACTTGGCCACAGGTATAAAACTTGATCTACTCATTGAGATTTTCATTCTAGTAAAATTTTAGAATTTTTAGAATTAGTTGAATTTTCCGGCGAGTCGGGGTGGCCGACCGCCATGTACGGCAGAGCATGGCTAGTGGGCTGACGCTGCCTTTTTGAGTCAAATTTTATGTCAATTTGATAACCGTTTGTTATAGTTTGATAGTTTGAACCTAGTATGGAATACTACGTCACTTGACCATTTATGATTCGACGATTTGACCGTTGGATCATCACCAAACTTTAATACGTTATAGTACATAATATTTGAAGATATTAGAAACTTACGGATCGGGAATCCTACGTATGGATCTTCCCGAATTGGATTTGTAAGTTCGTAAAATAAAACGTCAACTGCCACTTTATTTTAGCGATTGGCGAAGATCCAACCATTAGATCGTTCCGAAACTTTAGGATGTTGTTTTGGAAGCTTATTGAAACTCTTGGGAAGTTACGGATTGGAAATTCAGGGTGCGGATCTTCCTGATCGAGTTACCTAGGGTTGTGGACCCTACCTTCTACCTTTGACCGATGGTTCACTTTTGGTCAATGGGTTAGCAATCATTCTAGAATTCTGTTTGGATGCATTTTATGTAAGTTACGTGTTCTATAGATAATAATTCTGAGACATGATTTGATCATTGTTCTAGGCGCCGATTGTTCGAGACATCTCGATATTCGTGCTAGGGAGTTGTAACGCAGACTTCAGGTGAGTGGGTCTTTTCCTTTTTATAGTATATATATGATTGATAGTTTCCAATTATGCATTTGAAAAAGAATTTCTTACCTATGCCTGGATTAGACTAAAGTTTATAAAAATTAGCGAAATGACGGAATTTATGAAACGTGTTACATCCTACGAGATGCATAGGTATGCTTATAATCTTTGATGCCATAATTATATCTACGGCTATGAATGTTATTATGTTGATTAGAATTATTGCATCATTATGGCATGCTTATATTCATGTAGTCTGCTCATCATTGCTGCCCCTCGGTGTTAGTGCTCGCCTCGGGCCAGAGCAAGTGCTTCACATGTATGTTCACCTCCCGCATTGCACACTCACCTTGGATCCAAGTAGGTGTCAGTCATGTCTTACAGGTCGCATTAGGCGACTCCGACTCGTAGGTGACCGCGCATAGCGCCAGTCTTCACGTGATCGTAGCACTAGAGCGTATATTATGATTACACCAAACTCTGTCGTACATGTTGCATTAGGCGACTTCGACTCATGTGCTAGCATAGATTGATGAGCAATAGGTTCAATCGTACAAGTCCCATTAGGCGACTTTGACTAGTGTGGTAGCATAGGTTATTGAACACTTGATTTTACTTATATTACTGTTTAAATTTATATTTATTTCAAACCCTAATAGATTAGTGAATCTGAATTTTTGTTTAATTGATATAAGATTATAGGGTAATACATTATATGGTTATTGATTATAAATTATTTATATGAATACTATGATGATTATTGATTTTTTTTTTTTGAAGTACATAAAAGAGGATATATATATATATATATATATATATATATATATAGGAACTTGAATACACACATGGTCTAGCAAGAAAAAAAACAGCTGAACATGGTGAAGACATTTACATCATATTTATATTAACATAATAAACCCCAACTCAACCAACTAAAACCCTAAATAAAATGCAGCTTTGCAAATGACAAAAAATTGATTACCGTAACCACTATAAACCCTAATCAACTTACTCAATTACTTAAAAGACCCTAATGACCAGTTGTTGTTTAGAATAAAAATTGAATTCTTGATTATTCATATGATTGTTGGAATTGATTAATTAAATTCTTGGTTTGATTATATATTACTTTATAGTCTACTCTAGGATTAAGAGTCTAAGATATATTTTTTTTCTTTCATTATACAATTACGTAATGGAACGATGCTATAAAAAACAGTGTTTAAATCCTTCTCCAAATATTCTGGATAGTCCTCCTCTTCCTTCAAATATTCCGGGTAGTCCTCCTCCACCTTCAAATATTTCGAGCAGTCCTCCTCCGAGTAGTCATCCTTTGGGTATTTTGGGTAGTCCTCTTCCTTTGTATTGATTAATTATAGAAGACATTACTATATAAAAAGATTTGTTTATTGTCATTTTTCTTTAATCTTGCACTCTTTTAAGTTCGCCCCTTCCTCCGAGAATTCCTGGCTTCGCCATTGAGTAGCTGTGAAATTTGTAATCCAGAAATGAAGAATAATAAGTAATAATATTGTGGAATATTCCACTGCTGTGTGAGTCTTCAAATCATAATTCCTTAGCCTAACCCCCTCATGCACGATAACTTGCAGCCTTTAGGCCCGTCCATCACGGCAGTGTTGTTGACCATATAAAGTTTGGCATTTTATGGGAATTCAATTATGAAGCCATACCAGCTGTGTTTTGACAATGAAAGTTCTCTGGTGACGTAGAATGGTAGCAATGATATCAGCAAATACCGACATCGGTTGTTTTACAGTTTCAATAACCGAGAATCACATCGTTACTGTAAATTATTTAGCTTGTTGTTTTCTTTGTTTTTAGAAGGCGTATTACCTTTATTCACGTAATCGAAAATTCCCAAATATCACCTTCAAGCTCAACCTACAACCATTGAAACTCCATTCCTGCGTTTATATTCAAACCCACCAACAGAGCATATCATGATCAACACTAATACTATTTACTTCAAAATCTAAATTTCAAACATATGGAACCCAATGATTTAACAGGTATTGAATTGGATCGAAAATGAACCTAATGTAAGTTGTAGTTAATTTAACATAAATTTAACTGATGCTTAACAGATCTGAAATTTTCAATAGACTAGTTACTTGTTTGGAATATTTAAAAAGGTTGGGACTACTTTGAAATGACACTAAAAGATTGAGGAGTTCTAGGTACTTAATCCTTATATTTTTTTATAAGAAATAAGCTTTATCCTGACGCTTCCTGAAACTCAAGTTCATTCTCATTTTACCCTGTAAACTCAAATTGTCCCACTTAACTCCTGTTTGGCATTTTTGCGGAGAAATGTCTTGGGTTGAATGAGGAAATAGCTTGCTAGGGGTCAGTCCAGGGACCAAATACGCCTAATAAAGCCATAATTAAGACAAGTCGTCTCATCACTTATTAGTGGTAACGTGGATCCTCATGTAGCAGACATGCAAAAATAAAAAAGTCTAAAGTTAGGTATGCGCTTATGCCTATAAAACCAAAGGCCCATCGGTTCCCAACTTCATCATTTCATCACCAAATTAATTTGGCAGCAAATTGAAGAAGTGATTGCTTAATCATGATGAACAACCAAGTAATCCTCAGTCTCACCTTAGCCATCTTCTTCGCAGGTAAACAAATTGACTTGTTCTGTTCTTTTTGTTTACGGTTATTTGTATGTGATCTGGTACGTGTCATGATTCATGAAAAATGTTATATCGATCGTTAAACTGTTAGACATGAAATTTTAAACTGATGATTTTTGTTTTGTTTGAACGTTATTAATTTGTGTTCAAATTGATCCATAGTTGGTAACATCATCATAGACACATATATAGAGATATAGAGATATTTTTTTGTTAACATAATGGTTATATGATTATTCGTTTACAATTGGCATGTAGGTGCACATGCAGCTACGATCACCTTCACCAACAGTTGCCCCTATACCGTATGGCCAGGGTCCCTAACCTCCGATCAACAACCACAACTATCCTCCACAGGGTTCGAGTTAGCATCCGGCGCTAGCAGTTCCTTGACCACTCCAGTCCCATGGAAAGGCCGCTTCTGGGGCCGAACCGGATGCTCCACTGACGCCTCAGGAAAGTTCAGTTGTGCCACAGCAGAGTGTAGCTCTGGCCAAGTCACATGCAACGGTAACGGAGCAGTTCCACCAGCAAGCCTAGTCGAAATAAATATTGTCGCAAACGGAGGCCAAGATTTCTACGACGTAAGTCTTGTTGATGGCTTCAACTTGCCCGTGTCTGTTGCCCCACAAGGCGGCACGGGCGACTGCCAGACCTCTTCTTGCCCCGCCAACGTCAACGCTGTTTGCCCAGCTGAGCTGCAAGTGAAGGGGTCCGATGGGAGCGTAATTGCATGCAAGAGTGCGTGTACACAATTTAATCAACCACAATACTGCTGCACTCCTCCTAATGACACACCAGCTACATGTCCACCCACAGACTACTCTAAGATCTTTGAGGACCAGTGCCCTCAGGCTTATAGCTACGCTTATGATGATGTCAACAGCACCTTTACATGCAGCGGTGGACCAAACTACGTTATTACATTCTGTCCATCACCCTAAAAATAGAACTAGAAAGGATATTATGTAATATCCCTTTATATCATACTAAAGGAGAAATAAACTTTATGAATTTTGACGCTTAGTATTGTCATGAATTTGTAATAATTTCAATGAAATAAATAAAGAATAATACTCTTGCATTCCCCTCTTCGGGGATGAGCTATTCATGACTACTTGCAAATACGTATTTTTACCATAGAAAATTTATAATTAGAACCGTTCAATTTCTTAATCTTTCTTTAAATATTATCTTGACAAAAAATCATTTGAATAAAAAATTATTTTATTTTTTAAATGTATCAAATAAATTAACCATGCATCAAATAAGTCAACAGCCTCTTTACATATTAGCCTAAAAATATAGGTACTTGAAAGGACAAAATTCCCTTTATACAATAGGACAAATAAACCCTATTAATTTTAACACATAGGTATTGTCATGAATATGAAATATTTCTATGAAATAAGATGTTGTCCAAGGACTACGTAGCTAATGCGCTGTTTCTAGCTAGCATTAGTGCAAGAACCGACGTGTTTAAATTTTTAACCCAAAAAATTTAGGGTTTAACCTAGAAATATGTTTTCTGCTCTAACTCTTATGGGTTAAATTTTTAGTCCGAGATTATTAAAAAATGAATTTAGGATTCTTAAAGTAACTTTAAATATATATATATATATATATATATTTGTAGACTATCCTAATTTAATTTTATGAACATTTTAACCTAAAAATATTTAGATTCCGACAAATATTGAAAAATTACTAAACTGACACCATGAAACTCATCAGACACTATGAAAGAATATGAAAAAACAATTGTTTTTAATTATTTTAGCCGTTGGGTCTAAATTTGGAGAGTTAAATCTTTTTTTTTTTTTTTACAATTAGATTTGATCATATTAGATCTTAACGGTTAGATTTAATGAATTTATAAATAAAACTAAAAAAAAATACATATATTTGGTGGGTCAACCCTACTAACCCAAAGGGAATCCTGGCCTAAATTTGCCCCAGAAATGAGTTATGGGTTACAACTCATATTTACCCTATGGGTTGGAGCAAATTGGGGTAGGTTTAGAACCTAAAATTTGAATTTTACTCTAAGGGTTGGAGTAGATCTAAAAGGGGTAAAATCTACATCTCAACGGAAAATGGTACATTTGCCAATTTTTCAGTAGTTTAGGACTACTTGGAAAATGAATGAAGTTTGATTCCAAAATTTTATTTTATTTTATTTAAAAAATGGACTAACTGGTGGTTTCACCACGACAATCCTCTCTTCCAAGGGCCGAGAAGACTTTCAGTCTTCTCCTGACCACCATCATATGATTCACCAATACTAGGAATTATTACTATAGTTTAAAATTGAGGGGAGTTTGGCATTGTTCATAAGCACTGTCAAATTGGCTACGTTTCCATTTATTTCCATTTAATTACAAAACTACCACTCTTCTGAAAACAATTAAAAGGAGTTGGGTTTATGCAATTTTGGCCTGGAATTGGGTTGTGCCGTGTAGGCCAGGCCAGTTTATAAAGAGGGCGATTTCTAAGGTGCAAACGGAGCTTTGCGGACAGTGTGTGCAGATGGGATGTAGACCATAGGATTAAATTTGAACGGTTGAAAATGAATTCATCAGAAAGGGTTTAGTGTGAAACTGGGTTAAAAAAGACTCGTGAGTTAATGAAAACGGTATCTGTGAAAATTCAAAAAATAGGAAATTGAACTCTCCCCCCTATCTACACGACAACAATTGAAACCATAAGCAACAGTTGAGACTCTATATAGAATTATAGTCACCCTTTTAAGTTTATGATAATTATAATTAAAAGTTGATATGAAAGTATTTGTATACTCTTAAAATGAGTTTTCTTATCACAACCAAAAAAAAAATCCTACAAAAACACTCAAACGTTGATAGTTTTCATTCTTAGGATTGAAAATACGAGTAAGAACGCAAAATCCAACTGTCCATATATGTGTGTTTTAGATTCCCAGAGTTTCTCAGCAACCAAACAGAGTATAACAAGGACCCTAAAGTCATATTAGTTGATATCTCTTCTCTCAATTTGTGTTATGTGGATTTTTTATTTGATAGTTTTCCTGCTTTTACTTGTTTGTTCACATTTCAGTCCCTAATGCACTGCGTCAAGGGATGATAAGCCTTTCTCAAGCTTCTACAAATGCAGCAATTCTACTTTTCTGGTGCAAATGAGAAGAGAAAAAAAAAAGCACACATGCATAAAGATTTGTATGCACTAGAGAGAGAGAGAGAGAGAGAGAGAGTTACAAAGACGGTGGTGGGCTGGGCACTAGCTTCGGTTGAGATGACGATGGTTGCGGAGTTGATAGTGTCAACGATGCTATCCATGATTGCTTGTGTGATCCTATAAAGCTCGTTGATTTGCTTTGCTTTTGGAGCTAAATTCCTCTTCTTTTTTTTCTCAAATAAACAACTTTGGCAAGGATTGACTATATGGGTTTCGAATTCCCTGCTATGTGACCGGAGAACGACAGTTTTCTGGCTAGATTCGACCAACATGGCATATTCAATCTGAATGAACATTTCTTGAGCTTGAATTTTAAATTTTTTTCATTTTGGTTATATGGGAAAACTCATTTTAAGCGTATGTTAGTAATTTCATGTAAAATTTTGGTTATAATGATCCTTAACTTAAAACGGTGGCAATAATTCAATATATAGGGTCTAAAATTTGGTTAATTTTGCAAATTTCCCTAACAAACCTTCAAAAGAAGAAGATAAAGAAACATGAGAAGAAACCCCACATTGTACATTCCGCAATTTCCAGCCACACAATAATAGAGATCTCAACCAAGACGCTCACCCAATGCAGACGAGTGTCCACTGGCTCTCAGACCGCCACTTCACCATGTCCCTATTTTCACAAGCACCGGCTTGCATTTTGCTCCATTGCTTCAACGCCCCTTGTGCCAAGTCGATAGGTCACTTCGTGGTTGGCCTCGACGAGCACTCTAACCCAACACAGCGATGTCGTGAGGCTTTCTAGAGACTCCAGTATTGAGTACGGGTTCGCAGTCGAAATTGTGGGTTCTTGCAATGGCTTCTTGTGCCTATACGATGGTAGACCTAACTTCGGCCATTTTTTGTTTATCTAATCCCATTTACTGGTGAATCTTTGGCACTTCCTGTTGGAAAATATTATTATTTAGATTTATTTTAATGTTTGGTATTTTGGGCTTAGCCCGTTAGTATTAGGGTTTCGTTTCCTTGCCTATTAGGGTTAGGTTAGTTTTCTATATATATGATACTTTGTAACTCTATAGAATAATCAAGTTAGTCACAATGTAGCATCTTAGGGTTTTGTAGCCGTTTCGGCATTCTCGTTTGTTTAATAATATTCTTATTCTTGTTAGTCTTGTTCGTTGCGCACTCTGATATTCAACTTGGTATTAGAGCAGGTTTGATCCTTCGGGATTTAATCTGCTTCTGTTTGCTCGTATCAGTTTGTTTGTTTTTGGATTTCAATATTAGTTGTTGGTAGTCTAAACTGCATCTGGAGCATCTGCACCCTTCATGTTCCTGCACTCTGCATCGTTGCACTCTTGTGTTTTGCAGGTTCTTTGCGGAGAAGACTGTAAAAAAAAAAAAAAAAAAAAAAAAAAAGGAAAAACGAAACAGGAAAAGGAGGAGGAAAAAGACAAAAGGGAAATAGAAGAAAATGCTTTGTTTTTTGAGGTTTTGACTTTGTGCCCACACGGGCAAGAAAGAAGTATTGATATTGGTATTGGTATTGGTATTGGTATTGGCATGGATATTGGTATTGATATTGGTATTCGGATTGGCATTGGTATTGGCATCGGCATCGGTATTGGCATCGGCATCGGCATTGGCATTGGCATTGGAATTTGGAGTCTTGCATCCACATCTACTTTGGCAAACCCATGTCGTGTACCGCCATGAGTTTGACGGGGGTGTTGGAAAATATTATTATTTAGATTTATTTTAATGTTTGGTATTTTGGGCTTAGCCCGTTAGTATTAGGGTTTCGTTTCCTTGCCTATTAGGGTTAGATTAGTTTTCTATATATATGGTACTTTGTAACTCTATAGAATAATCAAGTTAGTCACAATGTAGCATCTTAGGGTTTTGTAGCCGTTTTGGCATTCTCGTTTGTTTAATAATATTTTTATTCTTGTTAGTCTTGTTCGTTGCGCACTCTGATATTCAACTCTTCCAAGTTCCAACACCTACTTAAAATGAAGAAATTGGTCCTTCTGTTTGTGGGTTGGGTTTAGTCCCATCAGTGGTGTCTTTAAAGTTGTTCGGTTTAGCAATCCAAACAAAGCATTTGATGGAGAATTTGGTGAGCGGAGGTAATGGTTTTGACTATTGGCTCTGGGAATTGGAGTCTTGAGAGGTTCTCTCTCTAATTGTTCCTACACATTATAAATTGTAGATGTTAGGGTGATGAAGGAATATGGTGTTAAGGAGTCTTGGACCAAAGAGCTTGAAATTATCGACTGTTTGATTATCATATTCATCGAGTGGTGAAATTTACAGTGGAAGGAAAAATCTTCTTCTTATGTGATTTTAACTGACAGAATTATATTCCTTGAAAATTTGGCTCTCTATGTGTCAAGGTTGATGGAATGCCATTCAAGCTTCCATTGACCTCAATCATGCATGTGTCCATATTCCAAGCTTTGTCTCGCTCGGAGATGTCATCATGGGTTAGAGCTTTTTAAGGCTAGTTAAGCATTTTGTCTTTCAAGCTATGTCCAATTTCAAACTTCTAAGTCATTTTTGTTACTGATAAGGATGCTTAGTTAATGTATAGATTAGAACTACTATTTTTCACAATGAGTTGTAAATCATCCTTTACATTAATCCGTCTTTGTTCAATGTACATATTTTTTTTTTCGTACATATTGGATTTCTATGAAATTATAAGGCAAGCCCCTTCATAAACAAATGTTGCAAAAGGATGGGTGATTAGAAACCCTTATCGTGAAATGACGGGTTGACAAATGGTGAATTCAAATATACAAAGCTGTCTATTTTTGTTGTGGTAAATACATGTTTTTATAGTCAAATATTTACCTAATATACACTAAGATGAACAAGAACCTATACTAGCTATAGCTTTAGTCAGTAGTTAACATTTTTATTGTTGTTTCTCAAATTTATATTTGGTATCTGCTAGGATTCTTGAATGCAAGAGAACATTTCTGGTTTTTCGGAGGTATAGGCACACGTTCCTTTGTTGTACTTAATCGATAATCGAAGTTCTCATGTAGATAAATTTTATTTGCAGATTGATGAGTTTAGTTATGTCTTTGATTCAGGGAATTGGCAAATGATCCAGTTAAGTTACGGGAAGCGAGTTTCGATCGATCATGACCTCACATTCCCAAACATGTTGAGCTTGATGTGCTGAGAACGGTGATCTTGCAAATGAGCACATATTTGGGTATGGACTTAGCAGCTGAAACGACGGGACTTTTTTTCTGTAGCTCATGAAATGAGAGTTGTGTGTGTGTGTGGATTTGAGCCTCAAAGTTCCTCTTCCAGGTACTGTCTTCTACCTGGTTTTTAAAATATTCAAGTGACTCGATACAGTGTGTTCCTTTGACATCATGTATATGGTTGGGTCAGGAGTGCGTAGGTTGGGCATGATTCTCAAGTGCCCTTTCCTGTGCCTCCGTTGGTCTTCTTTGGGTCCTTTTGATCCTGTTCTGCTAGCTAGCCAAATGATAAATCCGAGGCCTTGAGTTTTCATAATGCTATTCCTTAAGAGCAACTCCAGCGTTGCAAAGGTCCCCTAGGACAACTCACTATTGAATCCACCCGGTGAACAATAACTACCTTTAATGAACATTAACCGTATTTTGCATATCCACCCCTAAATTGAACAGCTATGACAATAGGCAATAAAATATTAATATTTTTTCCACACCCAATCCATACACCCCATCACCCTTTCTCATTTTCCCCTCATTTGACCGGTTCTTCCTCTCTCTCCCTCTCTCTCTCTCTTTTCTTTCTCTCTCTTCCTTTTTCTTTCTCTCTCCCTCTTTTCTAGCTCACTATCGTGAGCTCTCTTCCTCCTTCCTCTTCAAACCTTTAACAAATCAAGCTCAAAAACAATATTTTTAGAATCCCTGGAACGCAAGGAACCCAACCATGGCCTTGCATGCGGCATCGGTGCATGGTGCGAGGTCCTACCATTGAAGCCGAGAGCTTGAGCTCTCAATCTCGAACCCAGGTGATGTTTCTATCACTATCTTGTGTTCTTGAGCTTTAAATCATGTTGTGCTGCAATTCTTGTGGTTTAATTCGATGGCTTAATTCCCTGGATGCATCCCATTCTTTTTCCAGATTCCAACAAAGGAAAATAGACCAATTCGAGCCGGGTCACCTTGAGGTTAGCCACACATCACACAGCCATCAGGCTCTCGGGCGATGGATTCCTGCTTGGCCTGTCCACCGGGCCTCCCCTGAGCTTCATTGCCCGCATGCGCTGGAGCTAGTTGCTGGGGCAATTGGGTGATTGGAATCACCGGTCAATCGGGCTAAAGAGCACGCTGGAGTTGCTCTAAGCAGGTACTCTTCTAAAAGCCAAAACACTTCTAACTACGTACTGGTTTGGTACTGAGGTGTTTTTATAAAAAGTGGGTATAAAAAAAACTGAACTTAAAAAGGTGTTTGATAAACACTTAAAAATAGCTTATTTTCATAGTTTTGGGTGAAAAAAAAAAGTTGAAAACGTGAAACAGCATAAATGTTGGATTATATGTTGAACATTGGATTATGATTTCTTGTTAAACGTTGGATTATATGTTTAAGATAAAGTTTATAAATATTTTTCTTTTAAAAATAAAGCATATTTAGTAATTCACCTTTATTTGTTAAGAAAATTAAATTAATGGCACATCTAGTATTATACCAGTTTTAATCATTTTACACAATCACAACTGTTTTACATAAAAGTTTACCAAACACTACAATACTGTTTTTTTTTTTTCAAAAGCATTTTTACAAAAAAGTTTATCAAACACTCTACAGCTTTATTTCACAGCTGCTTATTCTCACAAAACAGCAGAAGCAGTTTTTTTTTCAAAACACAACAATACCAAACCAGCCCAGTAGAAAAAGTTAGAAAAGTTTTTTATTCATATAAGTGCTTTTTGGAGAAGCTTCTTAATAAAGCACTTTCAAGTACATTTTAAGGAAAACTTCGGCTTTTAATAAGAATTTTAACGCCAATTAGGTCTAGTAATATTCCTTTAACTCTTAAACGACAGTCCGACATCAATTTCTGTCAACATGAGAGTATCTCTAAAGGAGATGTCAAAATGTCCACATAAGTTATAACAGTAATAAATGGCTACACTAGTATTCTCCAACAGAAATGTCAATTTCTATGTGGCGCTGACATGGATTGGCAACAAAGAGGTTGCTGTCAAATTTGATAGCAGCTTCAAATATTTTTTTTATTAATTTTTTTATTGGAAACGCTGAAACTGAAAGCAAACGAAGAAGCCAGAAAGACCGAAGCTTGAATTTTGGAAAACCAGAGAGAGAACAGAGAGAAGAAAAGCAGAAAGCTTGCAGGAGGGAAGCTTGCAGAGCTTCCATGGCTGAAGGTAGTTCGAACTGGGTGTGAGGGACTTGCGGGAGGGAAGCTTGCAGAGCTTCCATGGCTGAAGGTGTGAAATGAAGAAATTCGGGTTTTGAAAGATGTCGAAATGGGTAATAAAATAATAGTTTAATAAAAAAAAAGCTAAAAAAAAGTGTAATAAAATAATATTTAATTTGACATATCGGATGAAGAGCAAAATTTTGAAAAATATCAAAATGACACATAAACCGTCAAATTTAAATTTTATATTTAAAATTTGATATTTCGTTTGGAGATGATCTGAGTCCTTCTAATCCCTCTTAAAATGTGTAACATGTGAATCCATGCCCCAGTCAATAGAAAAGTCCAGGTATGGCTCCCCTGTCCAACCATTGCCCCTCTCTTTTTGTCTATTTCCTCTTGATTATTAGCTCCTGTGGGCTGTGGCGATGACTCGGTCGTATTCTTCCGTCGCTTTATGTTTCTTGCCGGTTGGGTTTTCTTGGATTTTTTAGGATAAATTACATAAAATTACTTTAATTATAGATCGAACCACAATCTTATATCTTATATTTTAAAATTTACAATATTGTATCTTATTTTATGAATTTGTTACAATGTTAGACTTCTGTTAATTTTTCTATCAATTTCTTTAAAGAGGGCCCACTCTTTATCCCAACTAGATTAAAAAAATTAAGGGTAAAGTACAAAAAACTATCTTAATTATTGGTGTCATGACACTTTCATACCTTATCTTTTAAAATTGACAATGTCATACCTCATTTTTAGAATTTGGTCCAATGTTATACCTTCCGTTACTTGGCCGTTAACTTTTCAGTTAAATGCTGATGTGGCTTAATTCAGAACCCACTTTCTATTAAAAAATCATTAAAAATGATTAAAAACGATTAAAAACTAAAAAAAAATTATTTAATATTATTTAAATATTAAAATAATAAAGATAAGTATATATAAAAAAAATTTTAAAAAAAACCTCTCGTCCCTCCCCCTCCACATCTTCCTGCAACCCAAAAAGAAGAAGAATGAGGAAGAAGAAGAAGAAAAAGAAAAAGAAAAAAACCTTTGTTGGTCCCTCCTCTCCCCATCTTCCTGCAATCCAGAAAGAAGGAGGAGGAAGAAGAGGAAAAAAAAACCCTATGTTCGTCCCTCCCCCTCCCATCTTCCTGCAACCCAGAAAGAAGAAGAAGGATAAAAAAAAATAAAAAAACTATTCGTCCCTGCAACCCAGAAAGAAGACGGACGAAGAAGAAGGACGAAGAAGAAGAAGAAGGAAAAAAAAAAAATCAACCCAACCCAGTTCACCCCTGCTCACCACAAACCCAACCCGAAGAAGAAGAAGAGAATGAGAAGAGGAAGAAGGAGAAAAGAAAAAATAAATAAAAATAAAATAAAATAAACCCAGTTCGTCCATCCCCCAGGTGGGGAGGTTGGGTGCGGAGAGTGGGTGTGGGGAGAAAAGGGGGTAGGGAGGGGGGAAGACAAATTAGTTTTTTTTTTCTCTTTTTTTTTTTTTTGGTTTGCAGGAATGGTGAAGAAGATGAAGATGGGGAGAAGAGAGAGAAGTTGGGGGGGGGGGGAGGGACATCGGAAAGGGGACTGAAAGTTGTTTTTTTATTTTTATTTATTTATAACTTTTTTATTATTTTAATATTTTAAAAAATATTAAATAATTTTTTTTTGTTTTTAATAATTTTTTAATAGAAAATGGGTCAAGGATCAAGCCACGTCAGCAGTTAACTGAGAAATTCACGCCAAGGTAACGAAAGGTATAACATTGGCACAAATTCGTAAGATGAGGTATGCCATTGTCAATTTTAAAAGTTGAGGTATGAAAGTGTCATGACACCAATAGTTGAGGTAGTTTTTTGTACTTTACTCAAAAATTAATTAAGGGGGTGTATTCAATTGAGAATATGAGAGATTTTAATGGATTTATAAATTTATGGATTTTTATGGAGTTTAATTGATTTGTGGAGATTTCATATAAAATTTTGATTCAATTTCCTCGAAATCTTAAGGGAAAAATGTGAGATTTGTAGATGCTTAAAATACACTACAAAATCTCTTCAATTCCTTCTAATTCCCCAACTTTCCCAAATTCTTTAAAATCAATTTTTAATTGAATACAACTGGAATGTTATAAATTTCTTTAAAACCCTAATTGAATGCACCCGGATTTCTAAGGATTTTAATAAACTATCTTAAAATTCTAATTGAATACACCTTGAATTTCAGAGAATCACTTAAAATCTTGATTGAACACCTCTAGATTTATTAAAAGAATTAAAATCTCTAAAAATCCCAATTGAATACACCTCCTTAAATATTAAAAAATTAAATATGGGACCCACTCCCTACAACCCATCTGGGTTCTACGTCCCTCCCAGAACCCTAGCCCATATCAACATCCAGTTCATTGAGGTTCACCACCGAGAGCCGCCATGGAGAAAGGACCTAGATACAAAGCCTACGCGGAACTCAGAGAATCGCGGCTAAGGAGGAAGTACATGATCCTAGAGGAGCTCGAAGAATCCGAATCGAAATTGACCCCATTGAAGAAACAAGTCAAATTTAAGACCCATCTGACCAATTCGCGAAAAGGGTATTCCGTTCTCGCTCAATCGGTGCCCAATTTCTCAGCCGTGTTACGAAAAGAGAACCGCAAGCCGCCGTCAAGGTTTCCGTTGATGCAGGAGATGACCATGCCGACAAAGAGTCTGGCGAAAGCAGCGTACGGGATATTGTCGAATTCGATAGGGAGTAAGTCGGTGAGCGCGGGGGAGGAGAGGTACAACAATAGCGGAGGGATCACGGCGAGGAAGAGCTACGCGAGTATGGAGGAGTTGAAGGGTTTGTCGTCAATGTCAATGGTGGAAGGGAATGCCAATGGCAATGGCAGAGCAATACCAAAGACTCATTTGGGATACAGACAGTTCTGAAAGTTTGGTTCTTTTGGGGGTATTTTTCTCTTTTCATTCTTTCTACACCACATAAACAAAATAATTCAAGTGAAAGTGAGTGAGCGGCGGATAGTGGTAAATGGAGTAGGATTAATTCAAACTTAAATCATGTTAATATCTTATATTAATTTTTTTATAAAAATATAAAGATAAAATGAAGAAGGTAAGAGAAAGGAATGAAAGAGGATTAAAAAATAAAGGGAGAAAATCCTACTCCATGAAAAATAATTAAACTTGGTGGGTGGTGAAAAATAATTAAACTTGGTGGGTGGACTGCTTTCAGTCTTGAAAGGAAAATCATAACCAAACATCTTTTTTCTATTCTTACACATAATTCAAGTGAACGTGAGTGAGCAACGAATAGTGGGAAATAATTAAACTTGGTGGGTGGACTGTTCACTTTTGAAAGGAAAATCATAACCAAACATCTTTTTTTCTATTCTTACACATTCTTGTTTAAACGTTATTTTCTTTTGATTGTTGTTTTTTATTTGACTTATTTAATAAGATTGTGAGAAATAAAGATAAGTGTTTGGTGTTGAATAAAGTAAAAAATTTTACATCAATCATCTCACAAAACAAATTACAACTTATATCAAATTGTTCCCATTTCTAATTGCATCAAGATTTTTTGTTTGAGAAAAAATCCTGTTGATGCACAAAATCAGCGAAGACTTTGGTACAACAGAAAGTGTCAGGTTTTGTGACCTTCGCTTGGTTGCTTCGGTCACTAGTGAGGATAAGTACGTAAATGAATAGAGACAGAGAAGCAAACACAGGATGTACGTGGTTCACCCAGATTGGCTACGTCCACGGAGTAGAGGAGTTCTTATTAGTAGTGAAGGGCTTACACAAGTACAAAGGATCAAGCTCTCAATTTAGTGAGTTCTTGTGAATGATTTAACACAAATGGCATTAGCCAATATTGTGGGGGAATGGCCCCTATTTATAGAAAAACTTGTAGCTTTGTCACATTGACATGTGTCATGTTATGATTGGTTCTTGATGTCGACACGTGCTGCGCTCTGATTGGCTTCTAATCTTGACACGTGTCGAGTAGTGATTGGCCTCCTGGTCGGAGGGGAACTCTTCTGGGTCCTTGACAGTATAGCGTTGGCCGGTGCTCGGTAGTTTCGGGATTGGTCAAGTATGGTACAAACAGTGCTCCCCTAAGTTCCCGAGTGAGGGAAACTCCTCGGTTGGGGACTTGCAAGATCCAATCCCTTGAGTAATCACGAAACTTCTAAGTACCGAAGTATGTGGTCTGATCTTCATCTGCCCTTCTCTGGAAGTACCTTTCCTCCATCCGGGAATGGTGTACTTAGCTGATGTTGACGCACAAGGTAATGTATCAATTTCACTTGAAGCTTAGTTGTAGTTTCGGGCTTAGTCAAGTGTGATACAAACCCTATAGTAGGAGTCCCCCAAGTCGCCGAGCTAGGAGATCTGCCGAAAGAGGTGACAGACAAGGTAAGCAGTCAAACTTCCAAGTAAGCAACCCAGGATCAGAGGTTTGACTTCGGCTTCCGGTTGATTGTTCTCCTTCTCCTTGTCTCTCATTCAACTGCCAGGATAAGGAGAAGCAAATGGATAAGAGATGATATGAGATACTTTTGCTTTTGAAGAAGTAACTTTCCACAGGCTTATTCTTGAACTGTGCTGGAGGGTTTTCTGGTGCCCTTCAGAGTATAAGGCCGACTCAAAAATTTGAGGGTCAAAACAAGTCCATCAAATCTAGAGTACGTTCGACCTTGATGATATGGGATACTTTTGCTGTTGACGGAATAATGAATGTGGTATGGAAAGGTGTCGTGCTGTAGTGATCTGTTTCAGCTCACCGTTGAACCTTCTGCTTCAATCTTTTGCATGGCAGAAGTGGTGTGCAACCTTTGCATTTAAATGGTCCTTCAGAACATTCCTTCATAGTGACTCATCCACGCTTGGCAGCTTCAGTGTAAAGAGCCAATATCTGATCAACTGTCATGAGGTATTTGCCGGTGGAATTCGTGACCTTGACAGCAGTTGAGGATGAGTACTCGAGAGCAATGCTAAGTAAGCAACCAGGCAAAGGCTCCAGGCAGTCAGTTCCAAATTGGAGGTTTGATTTCAGGTTCCGACTGACTGCTCTCTTTCTCCTTGTCCTGCAGGTGTGGACAAGGACAAAGACAAAGATAGGGAGAAAGCATGATATGGGATACTCTTGCTTTCGACCCTGATGATATGAGATACTCTTGTTCTTGGTGTGGCTTATTTGCTGAGGTATTATCGGGGGGAAATAAAGCTGAGTATTTCGAGAGGTTATGTTGAGGGTGCCTTTTCGAATGCGAGAAAGGGTTGAGCATTTTTGCAGGTTTGCCTGTCCGTTGAGGAGGGAGGTCAATGTATATAGGGATTTCCCAATAACAAGTAGTAATGCTATTCCTTTACCCTTCTTGGTCACAGCAATGTAGTGGGAGCTGCCAGCTTCACGTGTTTTAATTTTGTCAGAGCACTTTGAAAAAGTGGTATGTGGTATCTGGAAAGCTGATATTACGTGTGAAGATTACAGACAAGCTTTATCTAAGGAAATCTGGCTCTCGAAGTTCTGAGAGTTGTGCCTCTTCGGTTTTCGAACAAGCAATCCCGTCGAGGATCTGACTCTCGAGATTCGGAAAGCGGTGCTACTCCGGTTTTTGAGAAAGTAATTATGTTGGGAGTCTTTTCTCGAATGTGAGTAAAGGTTGGACGTTCTTGCCAACCTGTCTTGCCGCAAAAACACGGAGGTCGACACACATAGGGACTTTCCAGTTGTCAAGCAGTGGTGCTGTTCCTTTACCCTTATGGGTAATAGTAGGGTAGCTGGAACTTCGAAATTCTCGTGCCTAAACTTTGTCAGAGATCTTTGACAAAGTTATATGTGGTACCCGAGGAGTTGATGGTGCATATGGAGAGCGGTGATTGAACAGTAAGATTCACGTGCTTTTCTACTTCACCAGAAATCTTCGACAGATTGCCCGTAATTTCCGCAAAGCTGATTGTGCATGTGACAGGTGCTGACGAGGCTGAAAAAGCAGGTGCTTCTTCGATTTCTGAGATCGGCCCTCGTGGTCTCTGAGCAGCCCAGCTTTTGAGAAAGCAAACGCCTCTTCGATTTCTGAGATCGGCCCTCGTGGTCTCTGAGCAGCCCAGCTTTTGAGAAAGCAAACGCCTCTTCGATTTCTGAAAGCTCCGTCGAGTGCAGATTTTTATAGAGGCTGGCATTAAGTTCCACAGCACACTTGAATCTCTACCAGTAGAAGCTCATTTCTTGCACTTCTAAGATCTTGATTTGTCTGACCTCTTCCTTCTTCAACACATTTGAAAATGTCTGGACCCTCCGACCGTCGTTTTGACTTGAACCTTGGAGAAGAGACAGCCACGCCTTCTCCAGACAACATATGGCGCCCATCCTTCATATCCCCTACTGGTCCTCTTACCGTTGGGGATTCTGTGATGAAGAATGATATGACCGCTGCAGTGGTGGCCAGGAACCTTCTCACTCCCAAAGATAACAGACTACTTTCCAAACGGTCTGATGAGTTGGCTGTTAAGGACTCTCTGGCTCTTAGTGTTCAGTGTGCAGGTTCTGTGTCTAATATGGCCCAACGCCTATTTGCTAGAACCCGCCAAGTTGAATCATTGGCTGCTGAAGTGATGAGTCTCAAACAGGAGATTAGAGGGCTCAAGCATGAGAATAAGCAGTTGCACCGGCTCGCCCATGACTATGCTACAAACATGAAGAGGAAGCTTGACCAGATGAAGGAATCTGATGGTAAGGTTTTACTTGATCATCAGCGGTTTGTGGGTTTGTTCCAAAGGCATTTATTGCCTTCGTCCTCTGGGGCTGTACCTGGTAATGAAGCTTCAAATGATGAACCTCCAATGCCTCCTCCTTCTGGGGTTTTGTCAAGTACTGAGGCTCCGGATAACCACCCTCCGGTGCTTTCTCTTTCTGGGGCTCTACCGACTGCTGAGACTTCCCCTAAGCAACCTTTGTGAAGGCTCCCTTTTGTTTGTTTATTTTGACTCATGTATATGTACATATTTGTGGCTTATCGAAAATATTAATAAATAAGCTTTGCTTCATTTCAATATATTGTGTTAAATACACCAAAGCCTTCTTCATAAAGTTCTTTGAATTTTTGCTTTTGTTGAAACCTGTATTGTTGAAGCTTTGTGAGTGAAGCATGTAGTTTGAGGTAGTGTTCCCTTAATTTCCCGAGTGAGGAAAACTTCTCGGTTGGAGACTTGAAAAATCCAAGTCACTGAGTGGTTGTGAGACTGCCGAGTATTAAGGTGCAGTAGCATATGGTGGGAGTCCCCAAGTCTTCAGGCGAAGAGAGTTGCCGAATGAGGTGTCTCGCTTGTTACTAATTTGTCAAAGTAACGAATCCTTGTTTCGATGTCACACATTCGCATATGCCTTGTCTAAAAATATTTCCAACTTTTGTGTGTTTGATGCTGCATGCTATTGACTAGACAAGATCAAGTGCAATTAGTAGCTTTTCTCTCTTTTTCATCTTTTCTTTGGTGGAATTGCTTTTCGTTTCCACTAATCAGCCTGAGTGGATGCAAGATAACACCATTCTCTATAGCTCAGATCGCAAAGTCGTCTTCATGAAAGTTGTTCCTTATCTTGTGAACTACAACATCTCCAAATTTGAGATCCATCGGAGTAGTACAACTCCAGAAATTCAGGTATGATGAGTAACTGTTCATCAATTTTCTGTTAACCGTCAGACTTGTTGTGAGCTTCTAAACTCCATTTTTTCTTGTTCAGATCTACATACTTTCTTCATCGAAGTTGTTCCTTAACTTGTGAACTACAACATATCCAAATTTGAGGTCCCTCGGAGCAGTATAACTCCAGAAATCCAGGTATGATGAGTGACTGTTTATCATTTGTCTGTCAACCCGTCAGATTTGTTGTGAGCTTTGAAACTCTATTTTCTCTTGCTCAG